CGGTCAGTTGGTGACTTTCAATTTGTTTTTGTTAAATCTAAAAATACCAAATCCTTTGCAAATTCTTTATTAGTCTTCCTTTCAAATTTTAGAACGATCGTAGAAAATGGAGACGAGAAAACGCAAGACAGCTGAAGATAAGTCAGACGAAATTCCACCACCAACGCAACGCAACAGAAATTTGCCATGTGATTTTTGTCGAGTTTCGGCTTAATTTACAGTCAAAACAAATATACAGTGAACGCCAAATTGTATATAAAACGATTGCACCATATTTAAAGACTATTTCTAAGTAGTTCCGAAGGTTCCATACCGGACATTTTCCGTAGAGGACGATCCCCGAAAAGATCGACCAAAATCTTTCACTAATGGCATCAATGTAGCAATGGGGAAGTCCAAAATTGACGGAAACCCACGATTGACGCAAGAAATGATTGCTAATGAATTGGGCTAGAATGCCATGTGGGTATCGCGAATATTAACAAATCAGCTGGGATACGCGAAGAAATCTGCGCGATGAATAAACACGAACTTTTAATAAGGCCCAAAAATTTGGTCGAGTGAATTTTGCTCAATTCAAATTCGAAAATGTTCAGCATAGCAACTCTAGTAAAGTTGTTGACGAATCTTGGTTCTATAAGTACGATCCAGAAACCAAACCAGGAGCAAGCCCACCCGTAAAATCTAAGCAACCAAAATCAGCAGCAAGTGTAATGATGTCAGTTTACTTCACCCGATCTAAAATCGTAGCTGCAATTCCACTGGAAAAGGGTCAGACCAAAAGTAACTGTAAAATGGTACACCGAAGAGTGCTTAGCACAAGTTTTCAAATAGCAACGAGGAGTTAATTAATGCTGACCTTAATAAGCTTGAAAAGCAAGATTTCAAAGACTGTTTTCAGAAGTGGATCTATAGGCTTAAGAAATGCATTGAACGAAATGACGATTATGGTGAACTTATCGAACTTTCGTTAATCCCCTCGTATATACCAACGGTTACTGGACTCCAGTGTTTAATTAGATACCTCCTTACATATTCTCGTATTTGTCTGCCTTATTTAGACTTATGAGCTGCTATATTTAGAATAAACTTTACTTAACGCATAATCAACGTACCATTTTACCGGCTGGTACGTACCGATTTCCAAATAAATTATAAAATACATTTGGAAATATTTAATTTTTTTATTCGTACCCTGCAGTGAAAAGTTAAACTGTTATTTAAGAAACCAGTTTTGGACTACAAATCAAAGAATGAAATAATAACAGCTGGTATGATAAGAATTGCCATACCGTAGTGGAGAGAAAGCACACTGAATTGAAAATGGAAGGTTTCAAGATATTTTCAAATTCTGGTAGGACCCAGAGATGTGACTTAGCGACTGATGTTCAGAGTATACTGAGCTCTTGGTAGGTACATTTTCCAGCTTGCCGAATGGCAGTAAAAATAGAACACCTGGAGATCTCGAACCATTTTCCAATCGATGATGATAGAACAGATGTTTCATTGCCCGACTTTGAAGAAGCCCGTCTAGCGATTGCCTGCTTTAAAAACAACAGAGCGGCGGAGGACGATGGATCTTCACTAAAACTATACAAGTACAACGACGGAGAACTGACAAGATGTAAGCATCAGCTCCTTTGCGAAATATACCGAGGTGTGCTCTATCCAATCCCCAAAAAGGTATATATAATACCCTACCGAGCGTACTGTGTGCAAGACCATCGTCAACAAACTGGTTGGACCTTATCAGAGTGGTTTTAGACCTGGTAAGTTCACCATATACCAGATTTCCACCGAACACCAAATCTTGGAATATACTCGTGAAGACACACAACGATTTTAAAGCACCCTTTGGTAGCACGAAAAGCAGCCCCTGTGTCTGAATTTAGTATCCCGGCAAAATTTATACGGCTGTGTAAACTGACCTTAAGCATCACCAAAAGCTCCGTCAGAATTAAAATGAGCCTCTTCGTGCCGTTCGATACCAAGCGAGGTTTTATAAAGAGTGTCCTCTACTGGCGTATGCCGGTAATATTAAGCGAGGCGTGTGGGTCTGGAAGTGAACGAGGGAAAGGTGAAAGATCTCTGGTCATGTCTATTTTTGGAAATAAGAGTAACATTAACAACAATATCAGCCTTAAAATCCAACGCAGAATCACTCTTGCCAGCAGGACCTACTTTGCACTGTGTAGGCACTTGAAAAGTAAAGTCATCTCTCGACGAACAAAGACCAAACTTTACAAGTTGCTCATCATTCTCGTTCCCGCTGAGAGTTTTCGAGTGAATGGTTTTCTGTAAGATTTGTGGTCCTCTGCACAAATCAAAAGACAACGACTATATTGGCTGGGTCATGTGGTCCTCCTGAATCTCCACTAAACATTTTTTTTCAGGGGAGTGATCAAATAGTAATAATAATTGCTAGCGTTTTAGTACACAACTGGCGTCTAGCCCTGCAGGGTAGTCAAATAGTACATGCGATGTTTTTACTATTTATACATTTAAATAGCTTTTCTGTATGTGTGGCATAAACTTAAGAATTCTGCACTGACTGAAAAGGCTCTGGAAGTTTACGAACTGTCAACATATGTATGTACATACATACGTACTTGTGTATGTATTGGTTAAAACAATTGAAAGTGAACTTCCGGTTTGCCATGAAATCGTACCTAAAATTGTTGGTGCTTCTTCATATCTTTTTGTTTTTTGTTTTTTGTTTTGAATCAGCGACAGTGTGTATGTGATTGCTTTTTATATTCATGTCTAAGCACAAACCGACCAAATATTTAGGTTCAAAACAAAAGCAAACGAATATATGTGTTTGTATATATGACAATATACATATAAGGACTTTAATTAGCACAGTTAGAGGAAAGTGTATTTCTTTTCAGACTTGTGATTTTCAAGTGGAAATAAAACACATTTGACATAAGTATTAAGTAAACTAAAGGCCTGGTTGTTTGTAGGAATTGTATATTTCACCACATCTCCTCATCAGACTTCTTATGGCAGGGATCGAACCAACAGATCCTGACTTAACAGGCGAGTGTCCTGCCACTGCGCCAACATCAGCCATATAATCTATCACATTGTTGTATTATTGAATTCATTATTAATCAACAACTATTAAGTGCGATAATTTAACCGTCATTTTCTTAATAGCTTGGCTAGTGAGTTGTTTTGGAATCCTCAACTTATATATTTATAATTGTTTTTGCGGTCATGCATTTAAGGCATTTACTTTAATGTTATGACCAAAAGTGTGGCTTTGTTATAGAGATAAGGGTATGCCATTATGTTTTCAAAATGATCTTGGGCAAGTGACTTGAATAAATTTCAACCAAGACTTCCAATTTAGGCTGGAAAACGTCATTAATCACCGCTTTATAGCACTCCCCATTGACTGTAACGTTTTGGGCGATTTAATTTTTGCCAACATATGGTCGAATATGGACGCCCTGCCGATAGATTACACAAATTAGTGACCTTTTGAGGATGTAAAGGCTTCTCAACAAAAGGTTGTGTGTTATAATAACTCCAAATGTAGCAATTTTGTTTATTAAAATCTCCGTTCAACCAAAAGTGAAAATCGTTATCGACCGCCACTCTTTCTTATGCCCATTCACCGAACGCGATGCGAATGCTAGTTTTTCGGCTTCTATTCTTAAACTAGTTAGTCTTCCATAAAGTGGATGAGCACAGCTCCAATTGTTGTGTGTTATGGCGGTTGGACTAATTCGGATTGTATTAGATACTTTGAGTCACAGCAGCGATAACGTTTAAGTTGCGCACTGTACGGCACGTCTTTAAGCATGCGCATTATTTACTAGTGTAAACGTGATGCGAAACCGATTCATGGTTGCTCGAACTACTAACTCTGTTGGGTGATTATGCCGACCGCTCGATTACCCACTCGATTACCTCGCCATTTTTAAGTTGTGTCCCATACAATTCTTTTGAATAAGTCCTAAAAGTATTGAAGCATTTTTATTTGCTTTTATATACAAAATAAAATTAGTAATAATAATAATTAAATTTCAAATTAATTGCATATATAATATAAGTATATAAATAAATATTTATATATATGCATAATGTTGCGCATATCAAATGCTACAGCGGCTTGGATTCTCTCCAAGTTATATGTTAACTGCCAATGTGTAGAGGTCATTAGAGCAGTGATTTAGACAGTTTAGTTAAAATATTCAGTTTTAAGAATACAAATTTCATTTACAGAGAGGCTCTCACGATGTAGAAAAGCACGAGATCGCATACAAATTAGTACAATATTTAAAAAAACTACAAAAGAGGTATTCACTTAAAGTGGTTGAGTTTTAAGATTGAGTGTATCACCGTACCGCACTGAGGAACTAAATGCCATTTGGCGCTTTGTAACCGCTGAAGCGATTTTTCGGCCGTTGCTCCTCCTGCAATTGGTGGTTTTTCGTCTTGATGTTTTTCCAACAAATGGATGCACCTACAGTTTATACTAAGCCGCCTCCGAATGGCTGATGGTTGTTTTACGGGGAGCCGTTTTTCATGTCCGCAATACACACGGAGGGGTGGACATTCCCTGCCGAGGGGCGACCGCAATCAGAAAGTTTAACTTAATTTTTTATTTAAATTAATTTTCTATAACTTTTGGATGTTGGTCGCACTCGGATTTGAATCCGAGTCTTCCGAATGTCAATATGCAATGCTAATCACTGTTGTTGTTGTTGTAATCGCAAAATTATTTCCCCAAAGTACTTTTTGGGAATGTTGCGGGAGTGACAGTGCTTGGCCCGATAAAAATCCGGGTCGTTCCGGTATAAAGACCCGACTGTCGCGGGAACTATTAGATTTTAGTCGCCTCTTACGACAGGCATGCATTACCGCGGGTAAATTCTTGAGCCCCTAACCCGCAGGGGGCATGCTAATCACTCGGCTACCGCGGTCGCCAATAATAAATATGTATGTAAATTTATAAAATTTCGAATTTATTGTAATATTTCTAATATACGAATCTTATACTGCACATTCCAGTGGCACTGGCAGATTGGTTGGGTCACAACTTATTTCCTGTTGTAGTTCAATAGAAAACGAAAAATATTATTATAAGAATTAATATATACACGAGTATGTGTGCTCTTATTAAATTATTAGAAATTACTAATTTTCATTTCAAGAGCCTTTCAAATTTCTGTATAACTCTTTAAACCGAATTGGAATGGTAATTCTGTAATAACTCCAGTTGACTATATTTAAGGACCTCTGTTGTAAACCCTTTGTATTATTTCGATAAGCCCGACCGACTACAAACTACGAGGTGTGACAATTAACTAATGAGACTGACTATATTGTCGCGATTGTGGTAATCCTGCGGCCTTGAAATTCCGCTTTCCTTCTCTCGGCATTCTTCTCCTCTCCATTGATATATTTGTCATCGCTCTAGCTTGTTTAGTGCGCTTACTGTGTCGTGTGTCACGAAAATCAAAAAATTAAAACAAAAGCAACGCGTCGCGATAAAATTATACACCAAATTGGGCGAAACAGTTTCGGAAACGTACGCTAAAATTATAAAAGTGCATGGGAAACCAAATGCGAAATCTCACAATATTTGTCTCCGCACGCCTCCCGCATGAAAAAAGCTCGCATGAGCGATGATTATTGCCTTTTTTGATAGCCGTGGAACCGTCCATAAAGAATTTCTTCCACCGGGGCAAACCGTAAATGAAGCCTACTATCGCCAACTACTGGAAAGTTTGCGAAATCGAGTCAACAGGGTGCACCCAGACAGCGTTCGTGACTAGATCCTTCATTACGACAACACTCCGTACCACACCGCTCTCAGCGTGTCCCAGTATTTGGCCTCTAAAGGATCGACGTGATGCAACAACCGACTTATTCGCCCGATATGTCACCCTGTGACCTTTTTTTGTTTCCTTGAACAAAATCGATGGCCAAAGGAACACAATTTGAGTCGATTGAGGACATCGAAGCGTTCCAGAAATGCTACGAAGCATGGAAAACGCGCTGGAATCGCTGTATAGCTGTCCAAGGGGACTGCTGTGACGGGGATGGCAGAGTTGTAGAATAATTTTGAAATATACGGTTCTTGTGGAATCAGTCTCATTACTTAATTGTCAAACCTCGTAGATCATCCGCCTTTTCATTACCTTCTACATTCGTCGGACTCAAGGGCCTAAGTGATATTCGCTGTTTTCAACCCGGGATAGTTTGTTTATTGCTTCTTTTGATATTCTCACTCACTCAGACTTTGTGTTGACACATTTAATTGGCTTAATTGACACTTGGCTGTCTGCAAGAAATCTGATAGATTCCACTGTTAGAGCGGTTACACATTTTTCGTCTTCTACAATCTCAGTTTGGAAGACAAATATTTGGCTATGGGGGTTCGCAGGAAAACCCTGCTCTTTTGCCTGCTTCGCATTTCGATCCATCAGTATAGATGAGTATATAGGTGGCTCGCACCTGGTAGAATATTTCCTTTCTCTGGCGCACTTAACGCTTGACACGAGTTCTTTTGCAATTGTCTGTATGCCGTCATGTCCTTCGCAGCTGCGTACTGGACTCAACTCTCTAGCATATTTAGGAGGCTAGATATTAGAGTCGCTTAATAAGCGATTTACATGTTAATTGACCTGTTGGCAAGGATTGCTGCTATGACCCTTATTGAGGAAGTTCACAAAAACTTACTTCTTCTTTAGTGTCATGCCACCATGCTAGTGATCCCTACGTTAATATGAGCCTCACGATACTTGTGCGGTGCAACAGCCTTTCTGCAACTATTTTGAATTCGGAGCGCTTTGTTAGTGATGCTCTCAATGGTCTTTTTGCCAATAATTACTCCGAGATACTTGATCGAGTTGGAAGGGATATTACTCCTTAAGGATAGTGGTTTAAATTGATGAATTCTAACTTCCTTGTGAAGAGGGAGAGCTTTGATTTTTTCGGGTTTTCATTGAATTAGGATGTTTGCCTGAAAATAGAATGACAAGACTATCCGCAGGACATTTTAACATCAAGTTTTCCGCTACAAGTAGGTGATTATGTTGGTTTATCACAGTGGCGGAGACAGAATGACCCCTTCTCGTGTGCCATTTGCGATTTCGTGGGCAATTTTAACATCTTCACACTCGCATATGGCCCTTCTAATGCTTAACATATGCGACAATCAGGCAAGTGAGCTCTGGTTGATCCCTTATGAGGCAGTTGATGAGATCAATCAATAAGACCCGCGAGTTTGCACTTTCGTTTATTCAAAGATTTTTTAATTGTTGTAGTTGGAGCAGAGCGGTATCTACTAATTTACCCTCAACGTATGCATGCTGCCAAAAAGACAGCCGCTCCGGAGGTATTTGCCATCTGAACCAATCTTTTAAAATCCTTTCAGTATAAAAGAAGTTAGACCGACTATATAGTACATAATGGAGGGACCTACAGTTTATACTAAGCTGCCTACAAACGGCTTCTTGTTTTTTTATGAGGAGCATTATTTCATGTTGGAAATACACTCGGAGGGGTTGATATTCCCTGCCGAGGGGCGACCGCAATCAGAAAATTGAACTAAATTTATTTAAACTAATTTGCTATACGTCGGTTTCGTTTATTGACATAGCCATAGGAGGATAGGCCTACTGCCATAGTTTTTATCTGTCAAATGTCAAAAAAATCACAGTTTTAAATGTGACATTTACCGGAATTACAGGCCATTCAAAGTAACACCTCATATTGGAAAATCCTTTACTATATTATTTAAAAATGTTGATATTTATTTAAAGCTTACATCATTGCATATCGCCGGCACTGTCTTGTTACATTTTATGGCCTGTTTTTGTAATAAAAATGTAATAAAAGATTTTTTTTTTAATATTTTATGATTGAAAAGAATCGTTGCAATTATTATTTACCTGAAATTGGCTAATGAATACGGTACTGGCAATAAATAGCAAATATACTTTGTAAAAAACCAACATCTTATTTCATTATTTATTATTTTATTTTAATACACAAAAATATTTACCGATTGTATTCTGAATAAGATCCATTTGATTAAAAACTATGTGCTCGATAGTTTATATAGAAATTATGAAGAAAATAAGCGTGTAAATCAATTTTTTATTCTTACTAAAAAGCGTACGAAACTGCGCAAATACGTTAAGGAGGTTCAGAAAATACTCATATAAATGGAGTTTCCGGAATTTCATTTAAATTACTCGTAGAATAGCAGAATATTGCATACATTATCTTGAATATTTTTAATAACTATAATGTAACGAAATTATTATGCCATAATTAAAAGCGTATTTTCGAAAAATCCTTAGAAATATTTTAAAAATATTCTTTAATTATACTTATATTATTTTACAATTTAATTTGCAAAAGTAATTTCTAATTTAAATTTATTTTTTTTAATATTAAGAGTTGGATATTTGAGCGGCAGAACCACAAATAATACTATTATACCGTAAAAACTGCAGAGCAAATCAATTATTTAAGCTACAGTGCACAAGCTGAATATTTTAGTTATGAAATAGTAAATATAAATAATTAAATGAAATATTCACTTTTCACTCGCATCGCTTCAGAAGTAGTGTAAATTTGGGGGTTGTTTATAAACCATCCGGAATCACTCTCTCTATCGTGTTGCCTAGCGAGTTCTCTCTGGTAACCCTCTGTGCGATGAAACAAAAATATTTTATTCTAAACGAATATATAATATTAGTTCTGTTCAGTGGCTTGATGATTGTTTCTGAATTTTACTTAATGGGGGAAGCCACTCTAGATACTGAAAAATAGACAAATTTTTTAAATTTATTGTAGGAATATGGGAAAAGGAATACAATTTCTATTTAACTATTTCTACAAAATCGAGTTGATAAAGGCCATTATTTATATTTTATAGAACGATTTTCATATCACTTTCTTGAGGTCGTAATGACAAAAGAGATGTTTACATTTGTATACGTGTACGTCATTCTCTCTTCGTTTCTTCTTGAAGTATAAACACATCTAAGTAAAATAAAATTACAATTTTCGAATCATAATGTTATTGATATCTAAAAGCAATTGTACCTCACAAAGTTTTGTTGAATACTTTTGAGATGTGCTGTTGCTGCTGCGTCCATACTACTCAACCTGCCCCATTAACAGATTTTTCCGTTCAATATGGTGCGCGCTAAAATAAAAACAAAGTAAAGAGTTATGAAAAATGTAGTAGATAGTAAATAGACAATATATTATATCATTACCACAGCAGGATCCCGCACAATCCTTTTCCAAATTCTTGACTTTTTTACATTTTCTGCTATCTGCTAGGGAGAAAACGATACAAATCGGGTTCTACTCGAAAATAACGACACAAAATAAAACGGATTACCCGTTCAACTGCATTCTTCTTCAACTTGCATGTACTTAGAAAAGAAAGATAAACAAAAATATTTGCATATGTGTTAGTGCCGCCCGAAATCGGTTGAGTGTATTGGTGAACCCATCAGCCCGTTCTTGCAGGGAAGTGCAGTGATTTATGTGCAACTACCCAACTCACGTACCAGCCGTCCATAGAAATGGGTAGTTGCTGGCTTTTGGACTGCCCCCATGAAAATTTTTTTTTCATATGCAAGTATAAATACTCGTACATAAATCTCTGAGAATATATTATTTATAGGTTAATTTGTTTTTTAAATCTATTGAATATATGATTGACAAATATAATATAATTGATATTTACTACTATTTTAGAAAATTAATTTAGTTGAAAAATGGTGATTGCGTTATAGTGTTGCCGTGTTTCGCTCAGCCAGAAGTTTTACCTGTCATCATGTAATAAGATAAAAGCAAAGAAACAAAAGTAGTCATATGGTAGAGCGAATTGTACGCTACTTAAAGCTGCGTTTTGTTCAACTCTTGTCGATAAAGCAGTTCTGATGCTACAATGATTTTTTGACAAGATAATTTCTTGCATGGAGATTGAACGCAATTTCGTTTTGTGATTTAGAAAAGAGTGAATTTTTCTCGATTAGATCGATTAGTTTATCTACATTTATTTTGTGTAAACTAGTATTTTATAAAAAAAAAAAGAAAAAAACACTGAGAAATTTGTAGTATTGCCCTACATTTAACTAGGTTCGCGGCATTTTTAAAGTTTCATTACGCCTTGTATCATTCTTTTGTTTGTTAAGATTAAATTGGAAAACGCCGACATATGAGGAGTATTTTCTTATTAAAGTGAAAAAAACTTGTTTTCCCGCAACAATGGGTCGCCGATGTTGCGTCACAGGTTGCAGTTCGACTTCACGTTTGCCAGAACATCATGGAGTCACCTATCATTCATTTCCTTTGGATACGAATATACGTTCTATTTGGATGCGCAATACCCGACTTAGCCCAGAGCGACAAATAACTAAAAGTGTGCTTGTCTGCTCGAGACACTTTCGTCGTATAGACTTTCAACCGCAACGTAGTGGAAAGTATTTACTAAAGCAGAGAGTGTTTCCTACTGTATTTCCATGGGGGAAGGTAGATATTGCACAAGTTGAGTCTGATTTAGAAGATCTTAAGAACAATAGCATGAGTGCAGCCAGTAATGTTAATCTGTCAACAGAAGATGCTACAAAGGCAACAGTGGAAGCAAAAGTCGCACAAATAATGGCTGAAACGGCAGAACGCAGTGCAGCCAAAGCAATCGCTAATGTAGGTAAAGAAGACGATGGCTCGGCCTCTCCAGCACTTGCCGCGGTTTCGGCATCTCCGGCTGCAGTTAAATTTGAAGCTGTTACCTCATTTAATCCAGGTGCAAGGCTTGAAGCACAAGATTTCGATGGAATATGGCATGCAGCTCGTGTAGTTGAAGTGGATAATGACGATCGAGAAGTGCTAATAAAATTCGAACGTTCGGGAAAGATGAAATCTGCTATTGTAGGTACAGAGGAGTGGATTCCCATGAACTCAACACGTTTACGACAAAAAGTATCGACAAAACCAATACCTGTTTTCGAATTGGAAGAAAAATGTATGGCGCGATGGTCGGGACCCAGAAAGTTTCCAGGTACAATAAAAAAAGTTCTTGGAAATGATACATACGAAGTTCTTTTTGACGATGGTTATGTAAAGAACGTAAGAGCGGTTCACATGAATAAAATACTTTCTGTGGAACCAGATCTACACTCCATGTTAGCATCTCCAACGCTTCCAACCACTTTCATATCGCAATCAACGACAACAAATTTGCAGGAAGAAACATCTGTAAAACCACCTAATATTGAATATCCATTATCAACGGCTACAAATTCTACAAATGTTAAAAAACGTTCATCATCTGGTTCCCGTAAGGATTGGCCTTTGCTTGATCTGTCAAAATTGGATTTATGTAAGAAAGTCAACTATATATTTATGATAATATTTTAATTCTTCTTTGTGACCTATAATTTTAGCTTCACTTAATTTACCGGAAATTCCACATGATGGCGAATGGACCTGTCATTGGGTTAACGATCAGCCAATAGGGCAAGAAGGATTCCTTATTGTTGGCGAACATCGAAAACCCACAGTTATCGTAGAGGATTGGCGTTTGCCACCTGGTTGGGTCAAACATATGTATCAGCGCTCCAATGTGTTAGGTAAATGGGATGTCATTTTGGTGACACCAGGCGGAAAACGTTTTCGTTCTAAATCTGACTTGAAAGTCTTTCTGGAGGAGCAAGGACAGGCTTACAATCCAGATATATACGACTTTAGCATACATCGTCGTCGTGCAAAGGACATTAATGCATATGTATATACACCTGATTATACTCCCCAACAAACGCCAAAACCAAAACCACTCGATACAACCATTGCTGCTATGGATGCAGCTAGTGTGAAAGCAGCGACCACTGCTCTTGCAGTTAGCACTACTCAATACATAGAAACTCCCATAGCTACTCCGGTACCGCCAGCGGAACTTATGACACCTACACTATCAGCGAGCTCACCAACTAAGGATATTGCAGTGGAAGTTATTGGCAATATTGATAATGCAGACGCCGTATCATCCCGCTCTTTGGAAACGGCTTTACCAGTTGAAGACGGTTACGGTAAAGAAATATTTATCTTTCCTAAATAATGTTTAATATCTCGTTTTTTAAACAGCTTATATCGGTGGTCTTAAGGTGCAAATAATCGAAAATCTTTTCCGATGTCCCCAGGAAGGTTGTATGAAAAATTTCCGAAAAGAGGATCATTTACAGATTCATATAAAACACTATCACCGCGACTTAACCAAGTATGTATATATATATAATTTCAATATTTTGTTATTAAGGCATTTTTTTAATGTAATTAATTTCCTATCCTTCTGTTCTCAGACTTCTAGGCACATGTCCAAAGATGCTTGAGTTGGCAGAAAAACGTACACACACCAAACCGGACCAACATGAACCGGTTCCACGTAATCAAATACCAAATCAGCAATTTTTCGCAAAATTGCATCAACAAGATTTACTGCAAACCCGAGCTCATAGGCGTAGCGCAGGTCCTACTACTTCAGCAACCACTGCGGGTATTGCCCAAACTGCCTTACCTACACCAGATATAAAATCAGAAATTGAAAATAAAAATATTGGAGATGCAGACGCAGATACTTCGCAAATATCTGTGGGATTCAATGATACTTCAATTAATAGCTCAACTCAATTTAGTCAGCATAATTCAAATCTGGATGTAAATCTGAGTGCTATCTCATCTGTTGATGAATCTTTAACTGATATGTCGGCCACCCCAGCCAAACGTTCGCGTATTTCTCCCAGTAAACGTGCTACTGGTGCACGCAAAAGTAACCGTCAACGCACCACGAAGCGATATTTGACTGCCGCACAAGCTACAGCTGGTGCATCATTGATATCTGTAGTAACAGCTGAGAACAACTTTGGTGTATCTGATTTCGAAGAAACACGACACTCGTTTAATGCAACTCCAGATGCTAAAGTGCTTGAAGTTGGAAAGAAGCGTAAATCGTCTGCCGCACCAGTGACATCAATGAGTAGTCTCGATTCGCCTGTAACTGCTGATTCAGGCTCGTCATCGTATCCACCATTACTAGCGCCAGGATCTAATGATCCCGATGCCATGAATGCGGGAAATGTTAGCCAACCTCAATATATAAAAGAAAATGGTGAATTAATCAAGATTGTAAGCATGCGTCAGGAGGAAATCATAAATTGCCTGTGTTCATATGGCGAGGAAGATGGATTAATGATCCAATGTGAATTGTGTTTATGCTGGCAACATGGCATTTGTAATGGCATCGATAAAGAGGTGGACGTGCCTGAGAAGTATGTATGTTACATTTGCCGTAATCCACAACGTGGGCGAGATTCAATGCGTTTTAAACATGACCAAGATTGGCTATACGATGGGAAATTACCAGTGGCAAATTATCACATTGCCAACCCTAATTTACCAAAGCGTTTTGATTTTCTAAAAAAATCACATATTCTTACTGGAAATTTAGTTGAGCTAAAAAGATTTATGCATTCATTGCGTGTTAAAATGAATATTGCCAATAATCGTTGTCATCCCAAATTGTACTTGTGGGCTAAAAAATGGGAAGATGACACGGCTTTACAAAATATAAAAGCAGATTTAAAATCTGATGAAGATATTAAGATTGAAGACACACATAATGAAATCAAAGAATTAGAATCGAAGGATAAAGCTTCACCAGCACCATCGCCGACGAAGAAAATTAAGTCGGAACCTTCCACGCCATCCCAACTAATACCAAATATACCACAACCAGAAGCGCCCATTGACCCAGTAGAATGTCAGCATCGTTTAATGGAACACATTAAGATACAACAGAATTTAGTACTGAAACGTTTAGATGACATTGAAAATGAAATGGATGGTATGTATAAATTATTATTGTATATATCACTCCTTGATGCAATAACATACATATTTATATTCTCCTTGCAGAACTTGAAAGTCAGGATGATTTATTCGATTTAAAAGAAGATGACTTTAAGACCACTAAAGATGTACTGGCGACTTTCATCAAAGAATTAGATACTATGAAACAACTTGCTAAACTTAATTCTTTAGAGCATACAAAACAATCCATAAAAAATTCCACTATTACCGCTAAATAACTTTTTGTGGAACAAATACGTCCGGTTTCAAAAATAGTTTTAACCCATGATTTTACTTTCGCTAATTTTTTTTTATAATTACCAAAGTCTCTTTCGGCTTTAACCTTTTATTGGCTTGCAAATGCGTAGCGTTTGATGTTTGATTATGCAAATGACTTAATTCATGTAAGAGTTTGTTTGTATTAATTTGATTAGTTGAATAAATTTCTTCTTACTTTTCGTTTGTTGTTTGCATATAAAAATAAATGTAGCAGTTAATGTGGCTCAATCACCGATAGCAGTATTTTTAATTGTATTCTGTTTCAGATAAAGAGCCATTTCAAGCAGAAAAATTAATACGTACTTAAAAAAAAAATTTATTTTTTTTCGAAATAGGATCTTTAAATATTTAGTATGTACATGTATGTATGTATTAAAAAAAAATTGAGAAAATTTAAGCGAAATTAGAAATCCTAAAGCTTACTGTCGAAGTGACTCGAAAACAAAGATTTGCCCTATCGGAATACATATCATATTTACCAAGGCAGCGTCATAACGAAAAATTTTACGTTAATCGAGAAATTTCCATCGCTACGGTTGAATCATTTGGAAATATTAACGTTAAAGCAATTATCAAAATAAATTTCTTTTCGTTTTAACCCGAAGCGAAAAGCTGTCGTTAATGTTAAATTGTTAACGGATAATGTTAAATCATTAACAGATAAGTTAAACGTTAAAATTGCAGTGTGCTGTTACAACATAGCAAACAGCAATTTTAACCGTTAACGATGAATTTTGTGTAGTTTCAGCGTTAACGATTTCCTTTCATTGACTTAAATTTTCTTGTTAGCGAAACGAAATGATATCGTTGCGTTTGTTGAGCGTCTCTGATCTTTACCCATGTCCAGATCAATGAACGACTTGAGAATTTTGACATTGTTGTTGTTGCTGTTATAAACTCAAATATATTACCCCAAATTAGTTTTTGGTGAATGTTGCGGGAGTGACAGTCCTTAGCTGGGTTAAAATCCGGTATAAAGACACGGCTGTCGCGGGAACTATTGGATTTTAGTTGCCTTTTACAACAGGCATGTCTTACCGCGGGAAAATTCTTAAGCCCCTAACCCGCAGAGGGTAATCCTGGCATTTTTGTTCCGCATGCTTTCTTCAGATTCGTTCGCTTCATTTTCTTTGAAACCAATGTTATGTCACCTAATTTTTTTGACCGCACGCAATTCGACTTGATTCCAATGCGAGTGGCTATTTGGCGAGTGTTCTCTTGTATTTGTTGAGGTATTGTTGTTGTTGTAACGGCTGGAGACTAGTCTAAGTCATAGAGGCCATCTAACGCGAGATACAGGAAACGGGCTGTTTCGACGGCTTCGAACCAGAAAGAAAAAATGGGTTGGATGAGTAGGTTTTAGGGGGTAGGCAAAAAGTTGGATAGTTGGATTCAAGTCTGTATATGTAGGAATCAAGTTGACTACAATATCCAGTTCTTAATTGCGTCAGTATTTTTCGGGGTTTCTGAAGGCTGCTCGAGCTCTTCACTGGAAGAGAGTTCATGAAGGTGTTGACAGACAAATAGTAAGGCCTCAAGTGTCTTCGCTACTGGGGAGAGGAGAGTTATCGGCCGATAGGACTCTCCTTTGTTGGCTGGTTTCCCCGATTTACCCTACCGGGACCACCCTACCCATTTTCCACACGTCGGGTATCTTCAGGGTGGTCAGAGACAAATTGAGGACCCTCGTGACCCCAGCTCCCGCTGGTCCAAGGTGTTTCAGCATCAGCATGCTTATTCCGTCGGGGCCGATGGATTTGGAGGCTTTCGCCTTCCCAGTCGCTGTGCTCGTTAGACACGTTTTGTGTTTCTATTCGTATCTGTAGATTTTGACATTCCCTTTAATTTTGTTTTTCACTTGATTGTAGCTGTCTTAAATATCAAACGAATAAAGGCCGTAAGTTTGGATTTGAAATTTGGGTTTTACCTACAATATTTATATAATATATGCATGTAAACATACTCATGTGCCTGTGTGTTGAATTATTGCAAGAAGTATTAGAAAGGATTGGAGAAGCAGTAGGGATTGACTCTGATGATAGTGAAAAGGATGAGATGGAGATGGAGAGAGGAATTAGATTACACTTTCGAAAGGATAGAGTTGATGTTTAATAGAATGTAAAAATTTATAAATATAAAAAAATAGATGAATAAAAGCTGTGTCTTCCTTTACACATATATAGTATTTTTATTTTAAAAATATTAAAAAAAAGCACGAGGCCAACGAATATGTGCGATTGTAAAATAAAGGGGTATAGAAGCAGAAAGAATGAAAAATAAACAAATTTAAAAAAATTACTTGAACAAAGTGTCTCTGCACGAACGTGAAGGACGACACAAAATAGAAAATTGCGATTATAGACTCAGACTTACAAAGTATTTTGAAGTTTTGAATCTCGCCCTATCTGCTCTCTCTCTCTCTCTCTCTGCTTAAACAACTTTTCTTGATTAAAAGTGTAATTTGAAAACTAAGTTTTCATCCGATGTGTGATCGCTCCAGCAAGCGCCTGTCGGAATACCTCATTTAGTCAAATGTATGCCTTAAAAAGACATCACCGTTCTAATCTATTTTTCGGAATTACTCATATAGAAGGTGCGTTATATTATTATTAATATTAAAGTCCTTTTTTATTAAGCATCCAAAAATTTTAATACAAATTAACAAGCAATTACATATGTATGTATGTATGATTTACGAATAAATAAAATTTTTAAAAATTTACAAAAGCTATCGATATATGTATATATATATATATATGTAAATATGTATATGTACATATGTATGTATAATAAGCCATTCCAAAAAAATCATCAGTTAGTTTAGCAGACATATTAGACCCTTCTTTCCTTTGTTAGTTTTCCTGCAACTCTTGATTTATTACATTCACTGGATTTCCACCACTTCCATTTATATTAATTTGCGGTTTATTGATCTGCATTATTTTCATTTTCATCGTTTTGCGATTGCGGTGGTTGTGGTGGTACTGCTGGTTGCGTTCCATTCGCAACACCTTCCGATGGTTGTGGTGGGACTGCTGGTTGCGTTCCATTTGCAGCAACTTGCGTTGGATTCGGTGGTACTGCTGGTTGCGTTCCATTTGCAGCACCTTCCGATGGTTGTGGTGGTACTGCTGGTTGCGTTCCATTTGCGACACCTTGCGGTGGTTTTGATGGTGGTCCTGCTGCTTGGGTTCCATTTGCACCACCTTGCGGTGGATCTAGTGGTGGTCCTGCTGCTTGGGTTCCATTTGCGACATCTTGCGGTGGTTTTGATGGTGGTCCTGCTGCTTGGGTTCCATTTGCACCACCTTGCGGTGGATCTAGTGGTGGTCCTGCTGCTTGGGTTCCATTTGCGACATCTTGCGGTGGTTTTGATGGTGGTCCTGCTGCCTGGGTTCCATTTGCACCACCTTGCGGGGGTTTTGATGGTGGTCCTGCTGCTTGGGTTCCATTTGCGACACCTTGCGGTGGTTTTGATGGTGGTCCTGCTGCTTGGGTTCCATTTGCACCACCTTGCGGTGATTTTGGTGGTGGTCGACCTCTATCACTACCTCGGCCTCCACCACGACCTCGGCCTCCACCACGACCTCGGCCTTCACCACTACCTAGGTCTTCACCATCATCTTGGCTTTCATCACCATCTCGGCCTTCACCACGACCTCGGCCTTCACCACGACCTCGGCCTTCATCACGACCTCGGCCTTCACCACCACCTCGGTCTTCACCACGACCTCGGCCTTCACCACGACCTCGGCCTCCACGATCACCCCGGCCTCCACCACGACCTTGTGCTATTATATAGGGAAGACATATTTTCAATATTTTAAAAATAGAAAGTTATGCACAAGGACTTGCCATCAACCAGGACCGCTATAAGTGCTATAAGGAATAAAATTGTAATGAACTTCATCTTTGCAAAGAAATGATCGTTTGAAAATGACTGATTCTGCCGTCGTTTTTCAGCCTTTATATACAATAATTCAATCAAGAGATATTAATTAAACATCGTTATTGGTTGCAAGAGTTACAAAGCGCAATATTTGCACATCTGTCTCTGGCAATGTAAACTTCATTCCAACATGAAAAACATCAATATTGGTATAACAAACAAATATGAAATTAAATTTGTTGGCAGAAATTTGGGTAAACTTCTAGATAGACTGAAATGTCGGAGTATGGAGAGCTTGAGGAGATGACCAACAGGGAATATGCGCGAAAGTTCTACGTAAAGATGAGGCTACTTTCAGAAGGGTTTCAAGACAAGAGATTCCACAATGCGTAGCATAAGTCTCCTCGATGTCGCATGTAAGGTTTTATAGAGCATCAGTGAAATACTAAAGCTCATCTTCAGGGACCCTGCCTTCCATCTCATTCCTTACAGTCGCAATTTTGAAGTTATAAACGATTTTGTCCAAATATCAATATAAATGACAGTTTGTAACCAACACCAATAGCGGACGAAGAGTTCGTGCTGCCTCGAGGGAACCGCGTAATATTGGCACTGGTCTGGATCTTGTAGCAAGTTAAGCTCCTATCTACCCAGACTCGACGAACAAAGACTTAGTTCTACAAAGCAGTCAACATTGCTGTTCTACTTTATAGTGCAGAGATGTGCGCTATGAGAAAAACCCGATGCGTAGGCTTTGGTAGTTTTAAGAAGAAAAGTTTGCGGAAATTTTATGGCACTCTCCGTAATGGTGAGGGCTACGAACGGCGGAACAATACCCTTTATAAGATATACGACGATGTAGACATAATTTAGGGATTTATGAAACTGTACCTGCTGGTGGAAGCAGATGAATAGGAAGGTGCCACTACGTTGGAGAAGAACCTGACGACCCTTGGTGTCTCCAATTGCCGCCGAAAGACTGAAAGTATGCGGTATTTTTAAATCAGTGTTGTCTAAATGAAAGAAAAAGGTGCAAGGCCAATATTCGAAGGTAGACTATTAGCCTCTCGTTCAAGAAAATAACAAAAGTGGAGCTACTTATTTGAACAGATCACTTTTACATTTTTAAGCTGACTACCACCACGAAGGAATGGGCAATCAACTATGATACATCCGCATGGGTTAACATACATATGGTTCAAAACTTGATGGTGAAGTGGCGAAACTCTACCATGCTGAAATTTTTGCGATGTCATGAAGACTGTAAAACCGACTTAAACCGTCTTTTACCGAAGAAACATCGTCTAATAATTCTTCGTCTTGAAATTTTTTTGACTGTCCGTCGTCTAAGTCGAAATTGCCACTTTGAAACCGTGCAAACCATCTTTGGCACGTTCGTTCGGCTAAAGCATGGTCACCATAATAAGTAATGAAGAAGAACTCCCCGCAAGAACACTTTATCTGGTACAAATTTTGACATTTTCAAACGAATGAAACAAATTGTTGTTCACGCTAAAACGAATGACATCTACCGAAAACGACGCGAAATGACAGTATCTTTGAAATGAATATAGCCACAGGTGACCACGACGCGAAATAATACTAGTAGAGCCCTCTTTTAGAAGATTAATGTCAGCCCCTCTGAATGTACTTCTGACATGAAATACAAAACCATCAGCCGTTCGAAGGCGGCTTAGTATACGTGTATACTGTAGGTCTCACCATTTGTGGGATAAACCTCAAGACGCAAAACCACAAATTAGAGGAGGAGCTCGGCCGAAATAGCTTCACCGATTACATATCGCCAAAATAGGGTGAGTTCCAAAACGTCAGTTGCAAAGCAACCATACATTGTCAGCATTCCTAAATGCAACTGTGCAAACTTTGACGAAGTATCATATAAATTTTTTTGCAAGTTGTTGACGTTTTGAAACTCGCCCATACTGGCGGTCGCCCCTCGGCAGGGAATGCCAAGCCCTACCCAAGTATATTTCTGACATGAAATAAAAAAAAATATCCTCATAAATTTCATGGGACGTTCGGAGGACACTTAAAATAAACTATAGCTCTTCCATTCGTTGGAGAACATCAAGCCGAAAATCGCTTCAGCGGGTATAAAGCGACATGCTTTAGTCAGCTTTAGTGAAAGGAAAGTCCCACGCTGGGTCTATGGTCACTAACGCAACTGCATGGAACGCGAATTCATACAGAATTGACGCGTCAAGTTGGAAAATAAATTTGCCTTATTCAAAATCAAGGCCAACTTGGTCGAAATGGAATTGGAAGAGGAAGTAGTACGACTAATACTTTCTTAAAAAGGACATTTTCTGGGTGTTTCCTTTCGGAGCATTGCCTCAAGAGATGTCGAAGGAGCAACAGAAAAGTCGAGTAGGAGTAGACTTTTTCCTCAAACCCTCAGGGCAGGAACAAGTAAAAGTAGACGACTTCGGAACATTGAAGTCCTTTTGATGGAAAGCCTTTCACACGATTTTTGCCCTGCTATCTTCTGGTGATTGCATACATATATCTCGATTATCTTTAACGAAAGACTGTTAGGTGAACAAATCTAATATTGCCGCAGAACATGAATTTCTCTTTCACCTGAATAAGCAAAAGTTTGACGTAAAACATTGGTTTGCTATTTTTGGAAACCCAGACAGTTTTTTGCATTTGTTTACATACATCTGTTAATTTATTTATACAATATTGTGTACTCACAAAAAAATTTATAGAATATTTGATACACAAAAGGAAAGTGAGTTTGATTTTTATCCGCCTTTCTTTACTTTTCAGTTTGATATATGTATATTCATATATCTGAGAGACCCGATGTCCAGGAACTGCATTAAAGGCTTTCACAGCTAGAGTTCCTGCATCCCCTTGAGCCGCAAGAGCAAAGAAGGAATTGAGGATTGAATGTGTTTGTTGGTCGATGGAAGTTATTTTGCCTTTTCCTCACACATCGGATGCAACGTATAATAAATGGTATTGGTACAGACTGTAAATTACCCTTCATATACGATGGTTAAATATGGGCTCGGCTCTTTTAATAAGGAACCAGGAAGAGACCTGTGAAGATGATCCTCGCCCCGTGCACCTAGTGATGGTCGTGACCGAAGCGAATGTTCAGAAAGTCGAAAAATTAGTGCTCACTGATCGAAGAATTCAATTGTGGCAGATAGCAGAAGGATTACGGATTAGCAAAGAACGAGCTAACATTTAAATATGAAAAAAATTAGTGGACGTTGTGACGATTAGAGAGTTGTAAGGATTTTTTAGGGTTGTGCCAAGATGATTTAGATGAAATTCACATTCGCATTGTAACAGTTGATGTAACTCGGATTCGTCAGTATGATTCCTAGTCCAAGCAGGAGTCGATGCAGTGGATAGACAAAGACGGAAAGGCCACAAAAAAAAAAAAATTCAAAATGAAGAAGTCGACGTTATGGCTACCATTTTCTGGAATAGCGAGGAAATATTAATACTTCATTACTGGGCAAAGAGAACTACAATGAACGGCCAGTATTACGCTAAACACTGCACATAACGTGAGCATACCTTTTTTCTGTGTAAAGCAGCTGTTAAACTAGCCTTTACTAGGAGGACCAACAGCAGATAGTAGTGTGAACCCTTTGAATGTGATCGAAATGAACAGAACTGAGTCTTTACTCCTTCTAATCAGGACCTTCATAAGCATAACAACCGGAGTGTAAACCGGATACTGTGTTGTGGGAACTCATCGTATAATGATGGGCTATTTCCCAAACAACATTTGAGGAGGAATCAGAGGAGCATTACCTCTGTCACTCCCCAGCTTTCTACCTCGATTGCTTTGCATATATTGTACCTATAAGTATTAATAATCTCAAAAGTTCCATAAAACACATCCTGCGGTTTGAGCATATAGAAAGGTGAGAAAAATCTCCTTCATAAAACCAACATACTCCTATGTAGATATCTTAACGGGTCAGTCGGCCTAAGTACGCTTAATCAGGGTTCATCACGAAAGGCATATAATCGAAGAAGTCCACTACACTAGGGTTTGGAAAATGCAATATACAATAATATGTGTTTCTCCAAGGATTTATTTCATTATTTTGTTATATGAATCAGGTTACAATGAAATGGATTTATCACATTTAGAACATAAAGAAAGAGTTGGAAGGAAACAATGAATAATATGCTGAATGCCTTAAGTGCGGTCGCTCATGTTCACGTTAGCTCCCTCCGCCCTCAGGTCACATCAATTTCACTAATTTGAGCATCTCCTTTGATAATTCCAATTTTCTGGAGGGTTCACGGATTGTTGTATAAGCTGTGAAGAAAAATAGTTTAAATTCCAAAATAATTGGTGAGTTATATTAACATACGTATGTACATATGTAAAGTGGTTTAATAAAATAGAAATTTTTTTTCAATATGAATAATAGAAATAAATGCAGCTCTACAATGTTTTGAGCTTTCTTTTTAAGTGATTTTCCAAATAAGATTAAAAAAAGGTAGTTTTTGGGAATTTTTATTAAAAAAAAAAAAAACTTCATCAATGATTTCAAAATTTTGAGAATATATTTATACATGTTTCAAGAATATACAGTGAAATTATTGAAGAAAAAAATTAAATATTTTTTAAGTTATAGTCGATTTTCAAGGGTCCTTCACTGCAGTGATTCCGGCCTTCTCCGTGGATGAAATCTAAAAAAAAAAAATTCTCTACTAGATCACATTGTCTGTACAATGACCTACGATAAAAAAATCAAAAATTGGCAATATGGCGGCGTTTAAAAAAAAAATAGTCAAATTTCACCCAAAATTTTGGTCGTTTTTGGACTGCCAAAATTCGATTTTTTTATCAAATCAAAAATCGATAGGTTATTGTACGGAGAACTATATATAGAACATGTAAAAAAATCGATAGTGATCGGATCATTTGTTTTTGAGTAATCATTGCAGCAAATTCAGAAAATGCTGTTTCGAGAAAAACGCGTTTAAAGATAAAATGATCGTTTTCATTCGTAGCTAATGAGACTCTCTAGCTGCCGAGCGGCTTCTCTTTAAATTGCGATAACTCAAAAACTATTTGAGATATCGATTTGAAATTTTAAAATGTTATTTTTAAAGGTATAATCTACCGAAATAAGAATAAAAAAGATAACAATTACAATTAAAAAGTTGTGAATAGTTTAATGCCGAACAAATGTATTGAAATTTTCAAAAATTGTGTAAATTATTCAAATTATGTAAATTAACATTATTTTTTTAACAAAAACTTCTTAAGCTAGTAACTCTAACTTTTGGTGCCATGTAATGCGAATGGCATGAGTAAATAATGTCAAAAATGTGTAAAATTATCAAAATTCTAAGGGAAAAGACCGTATTTTTTTACATTTATATAGAAAGCGATTTTCTCATATTTTCTTTGTCTGCTAAAAAGTTTTTGGTAAATGGATAATACTTATTTTGTGAAAAAATCGTGTTTAACAATTCGAAGCGGTGAAAAAGCCTATCTGGTGTTCAGTAAAAATAGTTTTACTAATTAACTCATTAGCAAATTTGAAAGGACGAAATGACATTTGGTATGCGAGATCGAATGCGTCGGGAGGTGGAAATTCCACTTCTGGAAACATCACATGGATAAGACCTAGTACTCCATGTTCTAATAATTATATGCATTTTTCTAAAACTAAAATATTATGTAGCTATGGATATAGTACAGAAAAAATTGAGTGGGAAAATATCAACATAACAACAACACCGCTAGCACTAATACCTGTGGATTTCTTACCGTTTTATATTAGTGAAGCTGAATTTGAAATACTTCCAACTACAGCTAAAGTAATATAATGTAATATAATATAAAAAATTAAAAATTTTGTATTTATATACGTCCCGTCTTAATATTACATTATATTAATATAAACAATATTGTATGAACATGATAATTTAAATATCAATAACATCACGCGATTGCATCATTGTATCACATGATACTCAATTGGACTTTGTACGGTAAAAACTATAACACATGGCCGATGTCGACGACGACGACAGCGATCTAGGCAGCGCAGCATTTTTCCGAATCATGGCTTAAGCTTAATCATGGCCTACGGCCGATAGCTTGCCGATAGTTGCCATTTTCTTAAGTTCTAAACACTATCCAATGAGAATGGAAAATTGGTTTGTATTTATTTTCGTTTTTGCATTTTGTCATTAATTATTTGTCTGCAATTATTTGCCCTCTCATAGAGAAATCATTGAAGTTCTCAGAGATTTTCTTACTTGTTACAAAAATTTTATAAGGTAGTTTCACTTCGAAATTTTCGACACTAAACATGTTTGTTCATAAATGTTTGATCTTGCCACTTAAAAAATATTCAATTTGGAATTTTTTTAAATTTATTTTGGTGTTAATTTCTAAGCAGATGCTTTAACATTGAATACAGGCATAAATAAAATAGAAAGAGTTGTAATTTTTTACTTTTTTTTCGAAATCAAGACTTATAGGAATTCTCGATTATATGCGAAACGTCCGTGGTTTGGGTGCTTGGTCATAGCCTCAGGGATCTGCATCATTAATCTCCTGAACTTCGTAAAATACACCAAATGGTTTGAGCATCTGGAAAAGTGAGAGGAACAAACTGACTTGGTTTCCAAATATCAAACTGTCTTTAAATTTAATTGACTAAAACAACTTTTATGCATAATTTTGGGTTTTTTTGTAATTAATTTTGGTGGGAGAATCTCCTACCTTACGATACTTTCTTAGAACTTTCTAAAGTTGTAATAAGTAATTATGAAAGACACGCACTTGATAAAGTTCACTACAAGGGGTTGCAAAGCAATATAATTTTGAAAGTTTAAAAGAAAATATTCCACATATTTTTTTTTTTTTAATTGATAGATTTCTTATAAAGAGAAGAGGGTAGCACGAAATGACGAAATGTTGATATAGTTTTTAAAAAGGCATTTCAAATAAGATTTCCTTAAATACCTACAACGCGCAGACTATAATCATCTACCAGTGCCTCATAGGATGTGGTTGATTATGTCAACTTTTTTGAAGAACGTTTTACAAATTTTGAATTATATTCACCAATTACACAATAACTTACAATCCCTGCGGTATCAGTGACTATTTTAAAAAATATTTGTCTTTTTTTATTATAATTATAAGAGGAAGCGTTTTTAAGCTTGCGGAATGAGAGTCGTATGGGAGTGATTATGCTCATTAGAATCGTAACGTGTGATTCATAAAGAGAATGTACGGGAATAACCTTAATGTACAAGTGGCATAGTTTATTTAAGCCCGGAAGGGAAACCCTTGAAGACAACCAGAGGCCGGGCAGGTATATCGCGACATCGGAAGTTGAACCAAAAAAATTAAAAAATTGTCCTTGACAAAGCTCGACTAAAGAGGAAACAACTTGAAAACTCGATTCTGGCATTACTAAGGGCAGCACAAGATAGGTGTCCCCTAAAACAAATCAAAAAAAAAGCACGAAGAGGGTTCACGTGGATTTTTGGATCTTTGTATTGAAGAGGGCACAGCACTTGCCAAGAAGCTGGGCAGTTTCGACGTGTTTTGAAGATAAATAGAAGACATTTTTATGTGGGACAGTGGGTTCTAAACAAATTTATTGGAAGATCTGAGAAATCTTGCCGTCTTGCAGGTGAATTTATTGAAAAGTAGTAAAAAAAAAAGCTTGATTTTTCATTACCAACGTATTGTTAATGACGGCGCATAACGGTGCTGTTATTCCGAAAAAATCCACCTTGCACCAACTGAGCTAATTAGATTTTACGCAGCAAGGCTGGTCGAAGCGGCTTGGAGAACGAGATGGAATCATCTAAGCACTTTCTTAGACACTGTCCAGCGTTTGCGAGGCTGGGGCTGAAAATTCTAGGATTGCATATGATTACGTTTATGGGTAGTGTAAATGAAACTCTAGTCGAAGATCCGAATGTGTATATTTCTCGACGTAGACGGCGATTTTACGAAAAAAAATTTCCTTCAGCGACGAGGCACATTGCTCACTTGGGAGATATGTAAATAAGTAAAATTGCCGCATTTGGAACTCAGAAGATTCTCAAATGATTTAAGAGAGGCGATTCCACAACAAAAAAAAAGGGGAAAATTTACGGACTGGTACACTCTTTGGTCCGTAGGGATAATTGGATTTTACTTTCTTGAAAATGACAATGGTGAGACTGTCAGTTCAGAGTAATATGGTTGTGTGATGATCGACTTCTTTGGCCTACCATTAAAACAAACGACTTGAACAATATGGTTTCACATGCCACACAACACGAACGAATATGGCTTTATTGCGAAGAAATTCGCCGCGTAATCTCTCGTCTTGGTGATGTTCAGGATCGTGCGATGAGACTTCTTTTTGTGCGGGCTACGCGAAACCCCATGTTTTTATGCGGATAAACCTTTAACTTCTGAGCACTTGAAAACCAACAATCGTTCAGTTATGGCTCAGTTATCAGTCAAGAGGTGGTCGAAAGTTATTTCTAACAAATCGAAATTTGGAAAAATTCCAGAGGAGGATATTGGCAAGATGTAGTGTTTCACATTCATATAATGCCAAAGTTCAAACTTTATTACAAAAGGAGAATTTCATGAAAAAATATCAATATTTACAGTTTTTCTCGAAACCGCGAACCGGATAAGCCTGATCATTTTAGGATCAGTTCCGTCAGCTTAAACTAAACTAAATCCAGAACTTCAAAGTCTTGACGTACCGACCAGTAGTCATAAATTTATATTTAATTTACATAATACTTTTTAAAGCTCTCTTCAGATGAGCTAGTTTATTTATGTGTTATGATAATTGTACACTACTATACGTACATACATTACTGGCGATCTTAGATTTTGCGTATGTACTTTCTATGATTTGAGAAATCTACAGATTGGATATGATTATTTCGGAGAACTGCTACACTTATGACTTACAGTAAAAGACTTGTGCGATGCAGATGTTCCTTATAGAGGAGCTATTCACTTGGCACAGCGGCCGGACCTCATGGAAACTTAAGCCGTCAGCGCTGTAGCTTTATTTAATCATATAAATATTTTTTTTTTATACTTTTGGATATTCTTTACTCTCTATCGTCTTTGCCATATCTAGTATATATTTCCAAAGATTTTGTACAATACTTACCATATAAGTTATCCTTTTCGAAATGTTCAAATTGCTGATGCAAACGTTTAATTAAAACTGTAGTTTTTTTGGAGACTTTTTTTTTTAATGCTAAAAGCCTTTAAATAAAGGAACATATTTAATCTATATGTTTTAATTTCGTGAATATTTGTGAGCTTGATTTCTGCGTCTTGAGGAGCCATTATTTTCGTATCTGTCATAATCTCTTTTTCGATGACTACGATCTCCTCTTTCAAAATGTTCACTAGACGAACCTCTTAAATGGCGCTGGCTTGAAGATGCCGGAGAAGATAAGCGGCCTCTATGCTCATTTCTGTTGTATTCTCTTCTGTAACGGTTGGCATCTCTAGACGTACTTCTTGAATAAGATGAGTGGCCTCTATCTTCATTTCTGTTATCGGTATGGTGAGATGTACTCGATGATTGTCTAGGTTTTATAATGGCTGTCGAACGTCCGTATCGAATTGAGTAGTTATTTTGTTTTAGGACTCTTGCAGAAAATGGATCGATTACAACTTTGAGTTCCCATATGGAACCTCTTTGAACTTTGTCCATAACATTCCAGTCTTGTGTGCGTAAATCACGATTATCGGAAGCAATGTTGTCCAACAGCCTATTAGTAGATATATCCCTCCTTTCAGGGATATGCGCTACAAAGATTTCTGATCGTGGCACTTCATTTTCATCGATTACATTAAGTGGAGTACTACATGGTTGCAAATTAGGAACTCTCGCTCTAAACCATTGCGTAGTGGTCAAATCGCGAATGTTGTAAACGATCCAACCGGGCCGAAAATTACATTTAACATGTCGAGCTGACAAATCAATTCCATCAGCGTTGGCTGCCTGTGAAATGAATTGTTGTATTCGCTTCAGTATATCCGTAGACCAAATGGTGAAAGGATAGTCGGATGATATAACAGCTAACTTCACATTTGCGGCGTCGTCTCGCAACTGTTGCGTCGGCGTGTTATCATATCGTGAAGCAAATAATTCTTGTTGTGCCCTTTGCTGCTGGTAAGTATTGTGGTTAAGCGACTCATTGTAGCCGGTAAATAGCTGAGGTGGTGCTATTTGTTCATTCCGCCTCATTTCATGGTTTCTTGAAGTCAAATTGAAATCCGCTGATTGCGTCAATGGCGTTGCTGTGTCGTTTCTAAAATTTACCAGATTTTGCTGAGATTGGTTGGCATTAAACGATGCATTTGTTTGTGTGTTGGTTTCGTTTCGAGCCCATTTGCGAATTTGTGATTTAAATTTCGTATATGCTGTTTCGTTACGTTTATTGGAAATCGATGGCGTGTTTGCATCGGCTTTGGGTGGCAATACCTTGCCTCTGAGCGCAAATATAGTTCGTTTCGTTTCCCACGGATCGTGACATATTTCTCTTGCCTTATCCAGATTAACAAATTTATCAACTAATATTCTGAAACGTTTTCGCGCACCTCCGTTGACCGCAATTGCATCCGTAGAAGCTTTTATAGATCTAAGTTGTTCGCGTACAAAACGCTTGGCTTGGATTCTGTCGAAAGCTTCGTTATTTTCGCCAGCTTCTCTAGCCAAAGGCATGGCTTCTTCCATTGTAACACCTTGCCTTAGAAAATATCTTAATATATCACGTTGACGCTCAAATTGAAAAGCTTCTTGTACCTTATCTTCAGTGTCTTTGTCAAGAGTTATCAGACCTCTGATATTGTCCGTAGCGATGTTTCTTGATTTGTTAAAAATTTGAGCTGTTTCTTTCTGACTATACGCTAGTAATTTAGCATCCTTATGATGAATACCAAACGCAATCAATTTATTGTAACGTTTGATTATCCCTTTGGCCTTTCCTGTTAAAAATTTATCATTTTCTTCTGGTATTCTTTGGTTTTTTAAGTATTTTACATTTAAGTTTCTAGACATTTTTGTTCCCACGAGTGTAGGGGATGTTATGTCGCCCGTGGCATAGCCCCAATGTACCACGGAAAGGCTATTTGAAACCAGAGGATGCCAGGTATCTGGAGTTCACCGTTCAAAGACACACTTACGTAGTGCCATTCATCCCGAAGCACGGTCCGATTAACACCTGGGATTACGGGTTTTATCGAGTTGTCCTCTCTAGATCCGCCATATTTTGTTAAAGCAAGGACACCTCGTGCAGGATGTGACTCTTCGCCACGTATGGACGGTCTCAGGAATAGAGCTGCACTGAACTCTATCCTTTGGTTTCTTCTCTCAAACCTTGTCCCCATCTACGTATAGCACTCACAAAGTAGTATGCTTATTCACAAATGCCTGTGCTATACTTTAATTCTGGTTTTCAATTATAATGGGTGTTTTCTATTATAATGGGTGTTTTTTTTATGTGTGGCATTCAATTTCATAATGAACAGACTTACTCCGGATATAGTTTGCAAATCGTGCAAACTTATTACCAAAATGGTGCACTCTGCGTCCAATATTCGGTCGACATAACCGCCCAGCAGGATCGATAATTCGAACAACCATAGATCGATTTCGCTCCAAGTTTACTCTAGCGGATAATGCGCTGCTGGGAACTCCGTACGATGCGCACCGAAGACGCTATTGCTGTTATGGAGCAGAGTATTAAAGAAGACCCGCTATAACGCGCAACAATTGGAGATCCGCTCATCCGCTTTATGGAAAATTTTTCGGAGAGATCTTCTTTTGCGAGATTACAAAATCGAGCTCGTACTAGACTTGAAGCCGAACGACCATCAAGTGCGTTCCACGTTCGGTGAGTAGGTTCAAAACGGGTCTCAATTTCAGCTCAGTGATGAAGCTCACTTGAAACTCAGTTGAATGGGTACGTTATTGAACAAAGTTCTCGTATTTTGAGTGATGATAATCTGTTGGCCATTGTTGAGACGCTCTATATTTCTTTAAAAATGATGCCGGCCATAACGTATCAGTCAATGGGTAACGCTATTGAGTCATGATTGGAAAATTTTGCTGGGGATGACCTTTGATTCCGGTGCTATATGCCATTGAGCCAACAATTAATTTATTAAAGGAAATTTCTGCTGAGCGCATTACCTTTCGTTGTGGGACCGTGGCGTGACTTCCAATCGGTACGGTGCCTCGGAAGAGAAAATTTGGCTTATTGTTGTTGATGCACGACCCCAATTGTTGTAAAAAATGAGCAGCACTTGCTCGAAACTGTAATCCTTGGTTATAATTGCATGTGTTTTGTGTGCTACCGATGGCCATCCACTTTGTCATACGTCCAGTGTTTAGGTCCGCTCATTTCGTCTCAAAGTACAAAATCGGAAAATGTTACTCAGCAAGAGAGTTATATTAAACCTCTCGCCTTTGAAAGACTAACAAATCCTTTTTTTATTATAGTTTTCATGTTTTTCGAGTCTTTAAATAGTATAAATAGTACTTGATACTCACCCATACAACTCTATTGAAATCATATTGTTTTGTTAATTTAATTCCTGTTTAAAAATATATAAACAAACACCTTTTCTTTCTTGGATTTACCATTGTAACACCTTAAAAGCTTAGTTCTTTGAGTTATTCATGCACATTTCTTTTAGCAGCCTCATTGTAAGCATTTTGTGCTTCAAACTTACCTTTTCCTGCGTTGAAGAGCTGGATATCTCCACTGCAGAGCTCACTTTATTGAGAACTGTGTTGAATGTCTGCCATTTTCCTAACCAACCGAATGGCTCGCCATTTACCTCGTGACTTGTTGTATCTGCCTGAGTTGCAGCATCTTGCTTTTCCTCAACAAACAGTGCTAGTGCTTGGAACGTTACTGTAGTCCTGATAAGTGACGCTTTAAATTTATTCTGTTTCAATATCTCTTCGCTATGCGAGCTTATGCGTACAATCATTACACTACTTGTCTCGCTCATCGGTACTCTACATTCGATTCGTTTTATTTTGATGGAATTTTGTAGTTTTAGCAAAAAAACAATATCTGCATTTGATAAGTTATTGGCGCCAAAGTGTATTTTAAACATGTACACCGAAAGATGGGCACAACGCTTATCATTGCCCGAAAGAATAGTATTTAATAGATAGCTTATAGCAGCTGGGTGAAAGTGATTGCTCAAATCAGTCTTTGGAAATATAAACTTTGTTGTTAATGTAGTTTTCTTCGTGCCCTCCTCACGTATACTTTCTGCACGACGGTATTTTTCATTTGTTTTGGCTTTATTTGCACGTTTAATGGGTTTAAATTGTTGCTTAACAACAACTGTTTTATGCGCTTTTGTGTCATTAAAATGATCAGATTTAGGCTGTCTCTTACGGGCACGATTTATTAATAAACTCTCTATAATTTTATTGTGCTCATCATAGAAATGTCTAATATTCTGTAAACCTTGTTTGCCTTTATTAAGATTACTGTGATTTTTTTCAAATGTTGCTCCTATTTGTGTACCATCGTGCATGTGCTCTGTTAAACCTTTATCAGCTAGGCTGTGCTCACCATTTGCTGCGCTCTTGTGCTGTGTAACCGCTATACCTGTGTCTACAATACGTTGCTTTTCCTTTGAGTTCAAAGTATTTTCCGGTCCACTTTTAGCCGCACTGCTGTGCTCTTCATACGAATTTGTTCTGCTTTCCAAAACGTTCGTGGTTCCTGGTTCAACATCAATGCCGTGATGCCCCACATTAGATTTTAGTTTCTGTATGGTTTCCAGCGCAGCTATATCAATACCTTTTTTCGGCTTAATATTGTGTACATTAATATCGCAGTTTTGTATTTGTAAATTAAGGGATGTAGTGCTTGGGCGTTTCATAACCAATTGAAGCTTTTTGCGAGCACGTCTCTTTGCTGATTTGGAAATAGCTTTATTCTTTTCCCTTGGATCTAAATTCAAAACTTCTATTTTCGTTCGTATAAATTTGATGGCATTTTCCATGTCTGCGTTGCCCGAGCGAGCTGCATAATCGTAAGTAGTGTTTTCCAGCAATGACCAATTGGTTCCACTTTTGCTAGAGTTATTGGCCATTTTAGAATCATGTATGATCTTCACGACGGTTTTATTAGCTTCGTTGCTGGCATGTACTCGTGTATAAAATAGCTTGGATTATGTTAGATAAAATTCTTCTACTTCTCATCAGGTTTTCAGGGGGTTTTCACAGTTTTACTTTTTTGTACTATTCGTAGTAAACAAATGTACCTGCAAAGAAGGGAAATTATTAAAATTAATGAGCTATAATGAATGTTTACAACGACTCTTAAAGACCCCAGCGATGTTGTGGGTTTATGTATATTGTTCAATTTAGATTTTAGAATTGGTATTATAAAGGTGATAGGCAAAGAATAACGAAAAGTTCTAATTATGCTTCAACTAATAAGTATATCTATTATGACCAGAAGGCATCCGGAAATTGTAAATAAAACGAAAAATTTGAAGTCTTCACCAAAATTGATTGTATCGCCTTCAAAATATGCTCCTTCTAAAGCGATACTCATATGCCAACTTTTTTCCAATCACCGAAACATGCCTTGTAGGCTCTGTCCAGCATCGACTGCAGTTCCTTCTGCCTCAATCGACTTCCCTGAAGTGGTAGCTTGAGTTTTGGAAACAAAAAAAGTCGCATGGGTCTAAATACGGTGAATACTGCGGTTGATCGATGGTATCGAACGAGTTTCTGGTCTAAAAAATTTTTTGCCCACAATCCCGGCAACGCTTAAATAATACTCTTTATTGATTATTTGTCCCGTTGGAACGAATTCATGATGAACCAAACCGCGAATATCGAAATAAAAAACAATTTCCGGCAACTTTTTGGTCTTAATGCATACTTAATTACATTCAAAGTTTGGTATTCAAATATTAAAGCGGCTGAGTTAATTTTTCCCGGTGCCCATCAGATATGTCTTCTAAGAAAATTTGAACTCGAATACCTCGAAGTTGGGCCTTCGTGGTTTATCTTTGTGTTCCATCCAGAGCTTTCATCTCACTGTCGTCTGAAAATTTTCGCCCCGCAACTCCTTTTTAAATTTGAAAAAAGAAAAAAGTCACTGTGAGCCAGGTGCGGACTGTAGGGTGGATGGTCAATTTCTGTAAATTCAGTAGTTTCTAAGGCATCCCTCGCAATCCAACCTGTGCGGTGTAAACGGGTGCGTTGTCTGGAAGAAACAACACTCCGCGCGCTAATTTGCCACACCTCTTCTGTTCGATTGCCTTAAGTGCCTGAAATAACAAGTTAGCGTAATACCGGCCTTTCATTTTAGTTCACTTTGGCAAAAAATCATTCAAGAATATTCCCTCGGTATCCCAGAAAATGGTTGCCATAAGCTTCTACGTCGACTGTCCCACTTTGAATTTTTTTGGGGTGGCCTCTCCCCCTTTGTTTATCCACTGCATCGACTCCTGCATGGACTCGGGGTCATACTGACGAATCCAAGTTTCATCAACTGTTACAATGGGGTTGCCAATTACATCCCAATCATTTTGATACCCAAAGCAAAATAACACAAAACCTCTCCATCTCGTAGTTTAGTTTTGAGTGAAAGAACGTGTCGGTAGTAGTTTCAACGTTTTAAAAATGGTGGTGGAAGAGAAGAAACCTTCAAAGATGAACAACTAGAAGCATTGCTTGATGAAGATTCGTGTCAAACCCAAGAGCAACTTACCGAATCGTTGGGAGTGAGTCAGCAAGCTATTTCAAAACATCTCAAGGCCCTCGGCATGATTCAGAAAGAAGGAAACTGGGTGCCGTACACGACAATGCTCGGCCTCACGTCGCAAAAGTGGTCAAAAAGTACCTGGAAACGTTGAAAACCCGCCGTATTCCCCAGATGTCGCCCCTTCTGACTTCAACCTATTCCGTTCGATGGCACACGGCCTGGCAGGTCAACATTTTCAATCCTTCGAAGAATTGGAGAAATGGATTGCTTGATGGATAGTGTCAAAAGAGGACTCCTTTTTTCGAGCCGGGATCCGAAAATTGCCGGAAGGATGGGAGAAAGTTGTCGCTAGCGAAGGACAATACTTTGAATAATATATCTGTAAGCACTTTTTCGCAATAAATCTTTTGATTTTGGAAAAAAAAACGGCGGAAGCAAAGTTGTACATCTGATATTTGAAAAAAAAAAAAAAAAAATTATTATCGTTAAATTTTTGAGTTATATGCCTGAATGGTATACATTTGTTTCCCGGAATTGCACCAGGAACTTTAAACCGAGGTCGATTCGCTCGAAATATAGATAATAATTTCTTAACGGGGCAGATTACAAAAATTATTATGATTCAATTCGCAGTGTTATTGCACAGCGGTTGC